TGAATTATTTGGTCAAAATATTTTTTTTTCGGGGGTTTCCCCCAAAAAGAAAGAATTTCACAATGTCGAAAACGGAAAGTCTTTATCGTAGTGTTTATATGTCAACGAAGTTCATTGCTGAACTTTTGGTGGCACAGTTCAACCTTACAACGATCAACAGAACTGAATATCAACTCTGGGCGTCGTATTAAAATAATTCGCGAATGAATATTCAATTCCCCAAAATTACTAGGATTTAGAATGTAATTTATGATCATTGTAGCTGGCGCTATAAATTCTTGTTACATGCCTCATCGCCAGACATAATTTATATTTTTTTCGTTACCATGGCGATATAGAAAGTAACTCCAACTGACATAATGGATTGCCTATACAACCAGATACAAAACAACAGCCACCATCAATGACACGAGGGGATCACTATTGTGCAGCAATATATATATGTCAATAGTTGATGACACTCTCATAATACACGGAGCATGTGGTCGGAAAATCATGTGTGATATTGTGTTATTAGTATAAAGTACGAGTAAGAAGTAACTACTCAAGTTAAATACACTTGTCTGTAAAATCAAACATTGAAATAATAATTTAGTTTGGAAAACAGCTTTGGATGCAAAAAGAAAAAAAAAGATTCGTAATGTGTTCTAAAATCTGTTTAAACTTTTCAGAGTAAAACTATTTTTTTTATTGTAATGTTCTCTTCTCGTGAACTTGGCGAATCAGACATTTTAGTCGCAGGTTTTATTAGATTAAGTTTTCATAGTGAGACTAGCAACAACAAAACAACTTGATACTGCTCTTATTTAAATTTGAGCCTTTTTTCAACCAGCAGTGCGTTTTTGTTCTTGGTTTTTTATTTACATCTTCCTTTTTGGTGAAGGGGGAGAGTTTTCTCCCTTTCTTTTCTTACTATGTTTCAAGTTTCTTTGTGGTTTTCGTTCAGGGGTGCTCTACTCTAGAAAAACGGAGGGTTGTTTTCTGTTGGTTAAAAAACAAAGATTTTAATATTTATTGTGTATATTTATATACATTGTAAAATTGGGGATGAGGATATATGGGAATCGGAATGGGGGCAGAAGTGTTTTTTTTAACAAAGTTGATGAATATACGATACATAAATGTAGAGGCGACGCTGGTGTTAATTTTCTATTTCTCGATTTAACTTTTCATTCACAACG